GAAGATTGGCTTTTACATTTTTAAGCGGTTGAAAAAAACAAAATTGAAAGAAGCAGTATATTTCATGATATGAGAAAACTCTATGAAATACCGATGGGCATAAATAAAGTCTTATTAGAGCACAACTATGCTCGTTTGTTTACAAGCCTCTGGGGCCGCAGTGGCTGGGCTGGGTAGTTGCCTTAAGAGATAGTTGGGTCTGCAAAGCCTAACGTTTACCCTCTGGCTCTTTCTGCTGATCCCTGGTGTGAAGAACCAAGAAGATGCACTAGGTTTATAGTAGAGCCCATGGTGCAGAGGAGAAAGAAGTTCAAGGACAGTCAGGTCTCTGAGTTCACCCCCATGGTGAGCTAGTGTCTTTCTGGCCTTTGATCAGCCTTCAGACTCCAGGTACCAATTAGCTGGCATTATTCAGTGCAGGGTCTTGATTTCTAGGATCAATAGCATTGCTGCCACAGAAAGCCCATTCAATCAAAAAAAGAAAAAGCTGATTAAAAGACATCCTGCTCCTGTGGGCAGTCTCAGGGGACGGCTGCCTGGACTCAAGGACCACAGCAGGCCAACAAGCGTGTAAACAGAACCATCAACTCTAGTGACTGACAAGCCAAGGGCACGTCTAATGAAGGGCAGAGCATAACTGATCACTAATTATCACTAGTTCATTTCCAATCTCGAGAAACACATCTTAGATCACAGAAAGCACTCATTCTCCCCTTCAGCTTTTACATAATAGAAAAGAAGTCAGGAAGGACAGAAGGCAAGGCTGGGACGTGAGGTGCCTGAACTTACTGCCTAGAGACAAAGGTTCACAACCCTGTATGCCACAGACCTTGGTGGACAACTAGTTTCCCACACGCTGAGCACAGATAAAAGGGAAAATCCAGTTGTGAAAGCACAGGTTTGGGCATTTTGAGACCAGTGTGCTTCTCTTGGTCTGGGAGCCTCCCAAATGAAGCCCAGCAAAGTAATATTTGCAACAGTAGCATTAAAAGGTAATCATGACAACACACCCGAGATCCCTGCGGCATCACTCACAACCACCAAGGGGTGGAAGCAACTACATGTCCATCAACACATGAATGGATAAATGAAACTGTGGTCTAGCCATACAATGGAACATATTCAGCCTTAAACTGGAAGGAAATCCTATCATCCACTACACCATGCATGAATCATGAAGACATCATATTCATGGAAATAAGCCAAACAGACAAAGACTGCATGATCTCACTGATATGAGGTATGTAATGCAGCCAAACTCATAAGAACAGGCAGTAGAATGGTGGATGCCCAGGACTGGGGGAGGAGGAAAGGGACTTAATGTTTAAGGGTATGAGCTTCAGTTTTGCAGGATGGAAAAGTTCTAGAGATCTGTTGTTGACCAGTCAGTGTGAGTGTAGTTAACACTGCTGTACTGCACATTTAAAAATGGTTAAGGTGGTAAATTTTATGTTATCTGTTTCTGTCCACAATAAAAAGATACTAATGATGAGGATGATAGTTTCTGTAACTAATGCTTTCCGGACATCTTAATATGTCCCAAACACAGGTTCCATGCTGATAGGTATTACACAGTTTACCCTTTCAAAGAGCTCACGAGGTGGGCACTATCACCCCACTCTACCCACGAGCAAACTGGGGCTCACTGAGGCAGCCGCCTGCCCCCATGACCGTGCAGCCAAGAAGCGACGCAGCGACGTGAGGCTGGCTGGCAATCTGCTTGCAGGGCTGCCATCCCCTGCCACAGCCACATGTCACCCGGCTAGAAATCCAAATGTCAACAGAATCTGGGAAGGGGACAAAACTATCAAGAAATTTTACTGGGAGCAGAGGTGGAAATCCAGCGAGTCTCTCCTGTTCTCCCAGACGAGTGGCTCCTTCTCAGCTCATGTGGTCAAGGCTTGTGCGTGGCGCTTCCGAAACAGTTTGCATCAGCCCGCCTCTCGGCATGTGTTGATCATTATTTTTGCTCCTGTGTGCTTGTTTCATTGCATTTTGGGGGGAAACTTTCATTGAAGTTGTATGTGTATGCTGAAGTTTTACACACAAAGTACACATGTTCTAAGTGTACAGCTCACTCAATCTTTGTAAACTGACCACATCCACAGAACCAACACCAGACTGGGAAAGAGAGCAGGGTCAGACCCCAGACATCCTCCTTACACGCTTTCCCCGTCACATCCACCACCCCACCCAACACCACAGATTATTTTTGTCAAAACAACCCTTTAAAAATGTTATGAAATTAGCTCTCATTTTGGCATTCTGTAATTGACACAGAGCAAAATAGAGAGATATGATCAGAATAGAATTGTGACTGGGAACTCAGGCTTGGGTTTAGACACATCTGAGCTTGAGTCTCAGCCCTAACATTTCCTGGCTGTGTGCCTTTGTGGAAATGACTTAACCTCTTTAAGCTTTGGCTTCCTCATAAAAAAAAAGAGCATGTCACAGGCCTTTCTGGAATGAATGAAATACTGTAAACTATGATGCCTTTCACAGTTATTGTCTCCAGAGCAGGCGTTGGTAAACTATGGCTTCCTGTATTACAAATAAAGTTTTACTAGAACTAAGCCACGTCCAATCATTTACATTTTTCCTATGGCTGCCTCTCACTACAAGGGCAGACCTGAGTAGTTGCAGCAGAGGGCCTGTGGCCTGCGAAGCCTACAGACAGTATTTACTATCTGGCCCTTTGCAAAGAAAGTTTGCTGATCCCTGCTTTAGCATGTGGGCCATGTTCACAGTTGTGTCCACAGGGACTAGAAGAGTCTGGCACATGGTGGTGGCTTTTACTGCTATTATGTGTGACAAATAAACACCTCTTTATGCCATCATTACTGGGTTTTTCATATTAGGCAGTTGAACAGATTCCTAAACAGTATTACAAGGAAGCAGTGAAACCATAAAAATCTGATATAACTTGAAAGAAGCCAGTCCTGGAGGTCCCCAGGAAGGGTCTGTGAATTCTAGCACAGATGCATCCACTGTTAACTAGGCACTGCACTTGGGGTCAGGAGAACATGGTTAGATCCCAGCTTCATCATGAGCTGCTTCGTTGACTTGGGTATGGAAAAATTCTCTGAATCTTAGTGCCCTCACTACTTCTTATTTACAGTTTAGAGAAGAACTCCAGCTGGGTCAGAACAGGGCAAGAGTGGAGACAGAAAAGCCACTAGAATCTGCAGTCACTCAGGCAGATCGTTTGAAATCATGAGATGCCATGTTTTCACGTGCTTTGAGAATCATTATTTTAACATAAAGTAAGTTTATGAAGCAATGTTCCATAGAAATTGCTACACTGTACTGTAATTATTCGTTTCCTTATCTCTCTTATTAAGCTGCACACTTCTAATGAATGGAAACCAAAACTACGTCTTGCCATCACTTAATATCATGTGTCTCCTGCAGTATGAAGTATGATGACTAATGCAGTGTAGGCACAAAATAATTATTAGATGGAAAAATGAACACGGAATTAGATGTGACCCATCTGTGGTCATCTGCCACATCAGAAAAAGGACTGGGAGTCAGGGAGGCTTATATTTAATGTAAGCACTAGGAAATGTCAAAGAGCATTTGGAGGTTGGAGTAAGTCAAGAAAATACAACTTGCACCCATTTTCAGGTATGTGATGGACTCTCTCATTCACCCCCTACCTACCTGCCTCCTGTCCGGGCCTTCCTTGCAATGCTTCTTCCTCTGCTCTGACTTTTCCCTCACCTGGTGCTTTCTTTCTCTTCCCTTCCTGTGAGTTCCTCCTACTCTGTTCTTCCCTTACAGGCTGGTGTTTCATTCTTGCTTCCCTTTTTTTTTACTCTCTGTACTCTCACCCAATTTCAGCATTTCAATTAATATGTAAAATAATCATATTCTTGAATCCAAATTTCAGCTCAGATCTTTCATGTGCTCCGGGAGATGCACCTGCTGTTTGTCTGCCCTGGAATGCCCACTGACACCCGAGTCCTCCAGTCAGGGACGGACTCACTGCCTACCTCTTCCTTCATAGACATGGTTTCTCTGAGGCTTTCACGTGATGGGTGCCACTGTCCCCCCAGATGCCAAAGCCAGAAAACCCAGCTGCTCTGAACCCACTCCCCTCATAAGCTCATCCATTCAGTCACATCCCTACTGATCTCCCACCAGATTTCTTGAATCCATCTGCCCCCCTCCAGCCCCGTCCCCCTCCCCAGTGATTCAGCACAGTCTCTTGCCTGAAATACTGCAAGCCCCTAACAGCTTTCCTGACTCCAGGCTTATCCTCTTCCAATCTAGCTACAGTCCTCTTTCTGTATCACAGAGCAGATCGTATCAGTAACAGCTTCCCAAACACATTAGCTTAGCCCAGAACTGTGCTGCCCAACACAACAGCCATGAACTACATGCCTTGGGTCGGAACTGCTGCAACACTCGGCCATGAGTGCAAAGATGAACGCGCCAGTATGTTCACTGTAGTGTCATCCGTAATAGCAAAAGTCTAGGAACAACCCAAGTATCCCGTCATTTACCACAGAGGCTGTCAATTATGGCGCACCCATTGTGTGGCACAGCATCAAACTGAAAAAGGATGAAGCGGATTCTGTGTGCGGAAAAGGAAGGACTTCCACTCTACGTGAATGGAAATGTGGGGCAAGTTCAGGATATCGCCTCCTCACATTAGTGTAGGTCACAAGTGTGTGTCTGTCTGTACATACATGTAACTTTAATCAGAAGGACACACAAGAAACTGGTAATGGTGGTTCCTGGAGGAAGAAGCAGGGGACTGGGTGAGAGGACAGTCTTCGTTGTATATTGTCTTTGAACTTCGTTGTATATTGTATACAACTTCATTGTATATTGGCTAATCATATGCATGTATTACTTTCAAAAACAGATTAATAAGGGATTTCTGGGCATTTTTCTTCTATATATTTCTGTATGGCCAAGCGGAGATACCCACTGCTCTCTTATCTCAAGGAGGACTGACAGTGAAACATCAACATTAAGTTGGCATCACTTACCGTGATCTTTTTGTGGTCGGGAAACTCGAGGCCAAAGTAGTCGCCTTCCACGAGGTTGAGGTGGTTGCAGACTGCGTCCAGCAACACTTTCCCTGGGGCTCTTTGCTGAGGACAGAAACGACAGGAGTTACAGCGATAGAAACGAGCTGGAGCTCCTCCCACATGGCCTCTAGATTCCTGAGTCCATGGGTCCTCCATGGCTTGCCACCGGCCCCTGCCACACCACCTGACCACCAGCCCCCACACTCCTGAGAGCCCCTTTCCATGCTGCTCTCACACTCAGACGCTAATCTCCACCATTTTTCTCCCTGCCCCATCCTAGGTACCAACCCCTTTTCAGAAATAGACTGTTTTTTAGAAAGGTTTTTGGCTTATAGAAATTGAGCAGAAGGTACACAGAATTTCCATATACCTCTCCCCACCACACACACCGTGTCCCCTACTATTTATTAGTATCTGGTTGTTACACTTGCTGAGCCACGACTGATATATTATTATCACCCCAAGTCCTTAGTTCACATCAGGGTTCACTCTTGCTGTTGTATATTCTGTGCGTCTTGATGAAGATATAATATCCACCATTACAGGACCACAGAGGCGGGTGTCCCCATCCTGACAACCCATGTGCTCCGCCTACTCAATCCTCACCCAACTCCTCTGAACCCCTGACAACCACTTATCTCTTTACTGCTCCATACTGTTGCTTTTCCCAGGCGGTCATGCAGTTAGAACCATATAGTCTATGGACTTTTCAGCTGGCCTTCTTTCACTTAGCAGCACGCATTAGGTCCTTTCATGCCTTTTCACAGCTTTTTTGTTTACATCACCTCTTTTTATTGCTGAACATAGTCCACTGGGTGGATGGAACACAGGCTGTTCACCCATTCACCTTCTGAAGGATATTTTGGTTGCCAAGTTTTGGCAATTATGAATAAAACTGCTATAAATTTGTGTGCAGGTTTTGTGTGGACTCACATTGTCAACTCATGACCCCAATGCCCTTTCTGTAGTGGTTTGAACCCTGTCTGTTCCTTTCTCCTCCACAAGTACAGCAGAATTAATGGCTTTCTTCTCTAGGTTCTCATAGCATTTTGTGCAGACTCTCCTCTGGACTACGCATAACTGAAATCTACATAATTTCACTAACTCCTGCATCCACAATGCCTAAAGACCAAATAATATTGTTGAAATGAATGAACAAACGAATAGAAGTTACTCACTCCTCAGTATAACATACTGCTAAGCATATAGGAATCTGCCTTCCCAGTTAAATTCCGGGCTCCTTTTCACTTCATGTTCTTATTGCCTAGCAAAGCACCTGGCGCTCGGTTAAGGTCTGCTGAGTATGCATTTTCCACCCACTGACTCCACAGGGAAAGGAGGTGTAAGAACCCAGTTTCCACCCCCAACACTTAGGATCACATGCTTTGGGTTCTCTTCACTGTCCTGTGGATTCCTAATGACCCACTTGTAAAATGAATCCAATTCCACCACACAGATCAAACGCTCAAGAAAAATATGGTCATCTACAGCTGCCGCTTTTATACTTCCCTTCCCCTTTCCCTTTGAGGAGAGCAGAGCGCTACCGTGCCCGGAGACTGACAGGAGAGCTGCAGCCTGACACGCACAGGGCCGGCGTGTCCATCGGCCTGCTCCTGCACCACCTCGCCAGCCCTCAAAGGTGCATCAGTGGCCACAGATAAAGCATCCTTTCCCTAAACTGATGCCACTTCGTGTTGTTCTCGTATCCCTGAATCAAATACAGAAGATATTCACAGCTACCGAAAGGTGTGCAGTATTCTCCATGGGTAACACCAAACTCACCAGGCCCTAGACCTTGACTGCCTGGTCCAAGGCAGACTCATTCCACTTGCACTGATGGCAGGAGTAATGTGGAGCTGCAGGTAAAACACATTCTTCTCTGGCAAGCACACCCCCTGCCATGCACACATATGCCTGCATTTATCTAGTGGACATCAGAGCCACCTATATTACCAGTCACCAATCTCACTTTCCGCCTCTTTGGTACTGCAGTCTTCCCTAATCAGTCACGCTGAGGGCACTCAGGACTTCATCAGCCTGGCAGGGTAGGGGGTGGGGGTGGGGTCCTGGGTTCAAGATCTCACACCTGCCTCCAAAGAGCTACACGAATACCTTATGTACAGCTACGCATTCCAGGCCTTCCTCTCAGCTCAGTAAATCTGTAGACAGTAATAAAAATGGGCCAGGGGCTAAAAAGTTGTGGAAGAATTCCTATATCCTAGGATTTTTTTTTAAAGGAAAGACAGTATGAACGTTTTACAGTACTTTCTCAGAATTCTCCACTTCTCCTATTTGTTACAGAATGAACCACCAATTATCTGACCAGCTAGTAAACACATTTCACAAAGAATTCCTGGAACTAAAAGAATTTGATAACTTCATCTAGATTTACAGAGTCTGGGAAATGAGACTTTACAACTCAACATTGAAAGTCTAAACAAGTAATAAAATCAATACACAATGGGCACAGTCATGGACACGATGTTCAACTAAGCACTTTATGGAACAGATGGAGGAGGGGTGGAGTTACTGTCTGAATCAGATCCTTCACTGAGTCAGCTGAGATTTCTGTGAACGTATCAAACATACCTTGGTAATAAGAAGAGGCTGGAAATAGATGCTTGAAATCTAGCTAATAAGTAATATAAATCTGGTCTCAATTCTTTAAATTTTCCTAGAATTTTATTAATTTGGACAAACCTTTTATGCAAAAAGACTTTTCTATGGTACCAACATTTTGGTACAGGGAGAAGTCAACTTAGAGTCTGAATGGTATTAAAGCTCCTAAAAGTCATCTCTAAAATCCACAAAGCAGTATATGAATTCCCCTGTGAATGCTGGTTACATGCAGGGATATAAGGAAAGCCAGAAGGTAACATCACCAGAAAGCATTTATAAGAGTTTATATGCAGCCATTACATGATCATTTCAGGGGTAAGTGGACCTCTGAATTAAGCATACCATCTTGCATCAGTGGCCACAGATAAAGCATCCTTTCCCTAAACTGATGCCACTTCGTGTTGTTCTCGTATCCCTGAATCAAATACAGAAGATATTCACAGCTACCGAAAGGTGTGCAGTATTCTCCATGGGTAACACCAAACTCACCAGGCCCTAGACCTTGACTGCCTGGTCCAAGGCAGACTCATTCCACTTGCACTGATGGCAGGAGTAATGTGGAGCTGCAGGTAAAACACATTCTTCTCTGGCAAGCACACCCCCTGCCATGCACACATATGCCTGCATTTATCTAGTGGACATCAGAGCCACCTATATTACCAGTCACCAATCTCACTTTCCGCCTCTTTGGTACTGCAGTCTTCCCTAATCAGTCACGCTGAGGGCACTCAGGACTTCATCAGCCTGGCAGGGTAGGGGGTGGGGGTGGGGTCCTGGGTTCAAGATCTCACACCTGCCTCCAAAGAGCTACACGAATACCTTATGTACAGCTACGCATTCCAGGCCTTCCTCTCAGCTCAGTAAATCTGTAGACAGTAATAAAAATGGGCCAGGGGCTAAAAAGTTGTGGAAGAATTCCTATATCCTAGGATTTTTTTTTAAAGGAAAGACAGTATGAACGTTTTACAGTACTTTCTCAGAATTCTCCACTTCTCCTATTTGTTACAGAATGAACCACCAATTATCTGACCAGCTAGTAAACACATTTCACAAAGAATTCCTGGAACTAAAAGAATTTGATAACTTCATCTAGATTTACAGAGTCTGGGAAATGAGACTTTACAACTCAACATTGAAAGTCTAAACAAGTAATAAAATCAATACACAATGGGCACAGTCATGGACACGATGTTCAACTAAGCACTTTATGGAACAGATGGAGGAGGGGTGGAGTTACTGTCTGAATCAGATCCTTCACTGAGTCAGCTGAGATTTCTGTGAACGTATCAAACATACCTTGGTAATAAGAAGAGGCTGGAAATAGATGCTTGAAATCTAGCTAATAAGTAATATAAATCTGGTCTCAATTCTTTAAATTTTCCTAGAATTTTATTAATTTGGACAAACCTTTTATGCAAAAAGACTTTTCTATGGTACCAACATTTTGGTACAGGGAGAAGTCAACTTAGAGTCTGAATGGTATTAAAGCTCCTAAAAGTCATCTCTAAAATCCACAAAGCAGTATATGAATTCCCCTGTGAATGCTGGTTACATGCAGGGATATAAGGAAAGCCAGAAGGTAACATCACCAGAAAGCATTTATAAGAGTTTATATGCAGCCATTACATGATCATTTCAGGGGTAAGTGGACCTCTGAATTAAGCATACCATCCATCAACCACAGCCTGAAATATTTCCCGACAACATGATACCCAAGTCCCGGGAACATAGTAGGCTCTCTTTCAGGAGCTGAGTAGAGCTGTCTGGGTGTATCCATGCACCCAGAGCTAAATTCTGCTTTGGAGAAAGCATCTCCAAGCAGGGAGGGACCAAAGTTTCATCTGATTCTTTAAGAAAAATTATCCCTTCTCTTCCTCCCATAGTAGATTTACTCTCTCCGTCTGCAACATCATTCATTTCTCTACATTTGACTCCAGTGATCATTTTTGAAGTTCCCACTAAAAGGAATTCTATTCGAAAGCATATCACCGTGTAAAATGGATAGTGGGATGGTTACCTCACACTGTGAATGTACTCTAAATTATATACTTAAAAATGGCTAAAATGGTAAATTTTCTGTTATATATATTTCACCACAATTTTTTAAAAAAGACAAAGAAACTTGATATGGTTCACATTATAAACTGGAGAGGGTGATGCCGACAGAATCTGTTTAAACTATTTTTAAGAATAACAAAATAAAAAATTCATTTTCTTTACATTAGATCTTAGGCATAGAGGGGTAGGTCCAGTCTAAATCGAATGTCCATGAAGGCCGTATCACACAGGGAGAATGAATGAGCAGCCATGTGCGGGCACAAAATGTTTGCTAATATTTCAGCACACAGAGTTCTTGAACGAGTCTGGCAAAAAAGGCATGAAATGAACATTGTTGGAAGGCATCACAAATCTGCATTTGGGGGCAGGCTTTGCACAGGAGCTGG